AAGAGCTCAACCCTCTCCTCCTCTCTGTGCTCTGGATATCAAAGAGAAGCAATTGACAGCCAATTGAGTACTAGATAGTCAAAGAGAAACAATTGAGTACTTTAGATAGACTCCTCTTTATTCAAACAAAAAGGCTGCTAGCAGCTCTCTCTGCTCCACAGGGACAAGCCACAGAAGCCGAGTCAACCTGAAACAAACAATCAAAAAAACCCCCTAACAAATAAACCAATTAATAACCCATCCAGGCAGCTTGGTTTACACTAGTATTTCCCAGATGGTGCTCTGCGGAACCTCAGGGTTTTGTGAAGTGAAAATAAGGGTTCCATGAGAAAATTCCATTATAACAACATTTTATGATCTTAAAAACTATTTTAAGCATTTATGAATTTTATTGAAAACAATTTTCATTTGTGTTTTCCACAATAAGTGTCCCTGTGGAATGCCAGCTTAGCCAGAAAGTGGGGACGATGAGGTCACTACTCAGCGCTGTGCATGCAGTCAGTCAGTCTGGTACGATCGCCTGTTATGTACCACCGTAAATCCCTGTACTCACTCTCAAGGAGTGCGGATCACGTGGGTGACTGAATATGAATATACTAGCATCATACTGGACAAAGTTGAAGCTTCTGCTGTCAAACCAGTTGCTTGTATGGGAGTGCGCAGGCAGTGCTCTTGCGAATAATTTACTTCAGTATAATCGTATGATTTCTTATTTTTAAAAATTTAACCATGACAAATATAAATTGACTGATAGATTAATCTACATATCTACAATACATAGCAACAATATGGCAAGTGAATAGTATCAACACATAGAATTAAATTATTGATACCAAAATGTCCCATGGATCATTGGCTAAAAGAAGGAACTTTAAAGAAAAAAGCGAGTACTTCAAACACTACATATATCAGACTGTTATTAGGGGATCCGCAAAATTCTTTTGAGTTTAAAAGGGTTCTGTGGCCAACTAACATTGGGAAACACTGGTTTATACAACTTGGGTGGTATACTCAGCCTTGGGGAGACATGTCAGTCCTGCCTAAGGACAAGAAATGTGGAAGATGCTGGGCGCCTATGCTAGCCTCTGATGCCCACAGCGAATGTATGCGCTGTTTGGAGGCCACACACATACAACAAAAATGAGTCCCTTGCTGCAGCCTGACAGCGAGGGCTTGCAAGGAAAGAGAGCTTACAGCCCACACGCTGTCTGTTGACAAAGCCCTTGACCCCCATAGTTATAAAGGGGGCAATAAGGGCTTGAGTGTAAAATCCTCTCAGAGCAATCCCTCCAGCCTTTTACCTCAGAAGGCACGGTCAGAAATCAGACCCTTCCCAGCCCAGTCTCTCCCCCCAAGAATCAGTGAAGGTGATGAACCAGGCACCTCGGGCATGGGGAAAGCTTGAGACTCCTTTATGACAGGCTCAAGGGCGCGCTCTAAACAAGCGGTCAAATCACCAGCCCATACATCAAAAAGGGCACCTACTAAGGGCCCTGATATAACAGAGGCAACAATGGCATCAAGGACACCTGGGGTGTCTCGATCACAATCAGTATCCCTGGCACAATGTGAACCCCCTATGCAATCTCCACCACAGGTTCCGGGAGGTGACAGGGCTAGTCCCAGCTGCCCTCCAGTACCTCACGCTAAAACCACATCTCCCAGGGTCACGACCGTGCCCATGCTACCACCTCATGTACTGGCGGACTCAGCAACGGCTCTCAGGGCATCATCCCGCAGCCATTCCCCAGTGCACAAAACACAGGCACCACTGACACTGGGCCCTCTGTTCGGCCTTCAATATGGCACCACTCTTGCTCCCCATTACCGATAAGGGGCTCACCATGTTCACCCGCCTGGTCTTAAATTAGTGCCTACCAAGGGGATACAAGGAGTAGCTTCTCCTCTCAACATTCCTCCCCCATGAGAACATATGCACCTTATGGGGCATACGGCTTACCTCATTATTATATCCTCCCTAGCATCCAGAATGGCACTAGACACCATAGCTTATGGTCCCTCTAATCGCTATGGGACACCGCGTCATACCTCCACTGCCCCTCCTACACCTACATAGAGGTCTGTGACCTCTATACATTCAGGCTCACCATGTTCCCCATCCGAGGGCACGGATCTAGAGGAAGGACAAATTGAGGATGAACCAAC